TATTTGTTGACGAGTGAGTATCTCCCCTAACTATAACACTCCAGGGAGTCCCCTGACTGTCCACTCTTACTCCCTTCATCATCCATCTGTCCAACTTGAGGACAAAAATCACGGGTAGTAATGAGCATGGAACACAGGATGCGTTGATGTGGCAAGAAAACTATCTACCGTTGGAAGAATTCAACAAAAGACAAAGGCCTTCATCATAGCTGCAGCCATCAATGACCCCCTCACTCAAAAAAACTACTAACCAGAGTCCATGGCTGGTAATCTACAGTAGTGCTCTTATCTATAGCTGCATGTTCCAAAACTTCAGTGATCTATGGTGAACTGTGGTCTGAAATTGTTAATGAAAAATTCCAGGAATAACCAATTCTTAATTTTTTTTTTTTCTGGAACAGTCTCACTATGGAACTCTGGCTGTCCTGGAACTTGTTATGGTAGACCATGTTGGCCTCAAACTCACATAGATCCACCTGCATCTACCTTCTGAGTACTGGAATTAAAGTCGTATGCCACCATGCTAAACTCTGATTCATAATTTTTAAATTCCTGTTGTGATTACATGATGAAATCCTGGTCCATTCTCTCCACAGTGAAACCAACTTGTGACTAGTGCATCAATATGATACATTCTATTTGTCTAGTGATAGGAGAGGGGGGGTGCAGAGAGGGGGGGCGGGGAGAGATGGAGACAGAAGGAGAAAACTCTTCTATTCCAGCATATTATGATGGCTTATTAGTAGCTATTGAGGTTAATCTCTTACTGTGTTTAACTTATAATTAAACTTTATCTAGGTGTGTGTATATATAGGAAAAACATGGAGTATGTAGGGGTTGGTACTATCTGTAATTTCAGGCATCCACTGTGGTCATTAGTGACAGTGGTGACAGGAACCTGGAGACACAGCTCCACACTGTTACTAGAAGCAGCCTGAGAAATTCCCATAACCTTTTGGAGACCTTGACTCGGGTAAAACCGGATCCTTGGCTTTGACCCAGAAAGGAATTCCAGGACTAGCCTGTATGGAGCCAGGTTTATTAAAGATATTTAAGTATAGGTTTTAAGAGTAAGGGTTAAGAGAAAGAGGTGCATGGAAGAAGAATAAGATCTACCCACACGGGCATGGCATTCTCAAGGGAGAGTTGCAATTAGGTGTCCTGGCATCAGCTACATATACCATCTTCATGGCGTCTCAAAGATTGCTAAGAAACTCTAACTGAGCATGGTGGTACATAAATCAATCAATCTTTCTCTCTCTCTCTCTCTCTCTCTCTCTCTCTCTCTCTCTCTGTGTGTGTGTGTGTGTGTGTGTGTGTGTGTGTGTGTGTGTGTGTGTCCAAGACAGGGTTTCTCTGTGTAGCCCTGACTTTCCTGGAGTTTTCTCTGTAGACCAGGCTGGCCTCAAACTCAGAGATCTGCCTACCTCTGTCTCTCGAGTTTTGGGACTAAACGTGTGTGCCATCACTGCATGGCAAATTGCACACCTCTTTAATCCAGCATTCAGGAGGGAATCTCTGTGAGTTTGAGACCAGTCTGTCTAAACACTGAGTTCCATGCCAGCTAGGACCGTATAGTGAGACCTTGTCTCATAAAAAAAGAAAAGAAAAGTGATCCCTCTGTATCTGTGTCTGTCGATATGTGCAGGCACTCACTCAAATGTGTGTCATAGCGCATGGGTAGCAGTCAAAGGACTACTTGTGGAAGTCATTTCTCTCTTTCCACCTTCTGGGATTGAACGAAGGCTGCCTGGCTTGGTACCAAGTTCCTTTATCCACTTTGCCATCTCCCAGCCTTTCTCGATTTGATAAATGGAATTTATAGGGTGGCTCTGGAGGTGGCTTGGATGGATTACAATCTGATAAAGTAAAAGCAGGAGCCACTGGGATTGCACAAGGGTTGGGTCATCCCCTTTTGCTACAAAGTTTCTGGTGAGATTCCCAGAACATTGCAGGTTTCTAGCTGGGAAGAAGTAAAACCTTAATCAAGTGTGATTGTGCTGGAGTCCTAGATTGTCAGCTGCCTAGAGGCTTCAGCCAAGGCTGGAAGGAGAGGACTCTCTCCCTCTCCCCATGTTTCCACAGCTGTCCTGGTGTTTCTGTTCTGCCTTACCAAGCTCCTGTAATAGGGGAGGACTACTGTACTCTAAATTAACGGCAGACAGCTAAAGTATCAGTAACATGTTCAAAGCAAGTTACTAAAGTATTGATTAATAATTAGGGCTTAGCATGTAACTGAACTGTCATGTAATACAGCCTAATGAATAAGTATCTAGATGATAAGCCAGTGTTAGGAGATAATTAAACTGTTAGCAGATAATCATATATCAACTACTCTAGTGTTAATTGATAAGCAAGGGATTAATTGAAAACCACGATGTTGGCAGATAATGGCTAATTAATGGCTAAGGTGAGAGTTAATAAAGATTTAAAATGGCATTTTCCTAAGAAGAGTTTCATGTATGTTGGAAGGAACTGGAGCCAGCCGGAAGCTAGTAAAGTCTATAGGAATACGTGTCTAATGAGAAGTATAGAGTTGTCAGTGGGACTCATAACTTTTGAGGAAATTTTTTTTTTCCTTTGGTGACCATGTATATTCAATATGGCCACATTGGGAAAAGGAACAAAGTCCAGTGACCCTTCCCTAAGTTCACATTCAAGGTCCTGATGCAAGATTTAGGTTTAAATAGAAAGCAAGATGTAGGTATAACTAAACAGTTCCAGTCTCGGGGTGGTCCCACCCATCACCCATCCATCATTGCCTGGCCGCTAGTCTCTCCTGAAAGGTGGTCTGACAAGTTGTCATACTACGTGAAATCTCTTTCTGAGGCACAAACTCCCCTCTAGCTGAGGGTCCCCATCTTATCTTTCTACTAGCATGCGACTGCGGGGACTTCCAATTTCTTGGAGTCCATTGTTTCAGGAGTCTGGTAGGCAAAAGTCGTGATGTCTTTCTTTAGAACATCTTCGCTCCCACTAGAGTGGTTCAATTTGAGCACTAGCCCTTTGGAGTCAAATCCATGCCCACAGACTTTCCTTAGTGCAGACTGTCTCTGCTTTGAAAAGGCAAAACAAACAAACAAAACAAAAAAACAAAACAAAACAAAAACCCCCAAAACGAAAACAAAAAAAAAACAAGCAACAGAACTCAAACCGTCGGAATAAACTTTGACCCACCGTGAGGCTACTGAGACAAGGTCTGCTCCATTCCTCACACCGACTCGGCACTACAGCGTAACAGCCTTCAACATATCACACCCCTAATACAAGCCTCCTCAAAAGACAAAAGGAAAATTTGTGTTATCCCTCTGACAGTCTACATTTTGAAAAAAAAAAATTAAAAACTTGGTTTTTCAACGCTGCAGGCATTTTGTATGGAATTCGGGAAGTTAGCCCCAGGGACTCTGAGGTAGGGAGTTTTAAATTCAAGGCCAGCTAGGGCTCCATAAGGAGATCATATTTCTAACTGGAACAAGATGAGGCCAGGGAAATGGCTCAGTTGATAAAACACATGAAGACTTGAGTTTGGTCCCCAGCATACACATAGGAAGTCAGGCATGAGTCGTGGAAGACAGAGGCAGGAGGATCCCCAGGGTCACTCACTGGCCAGCCTGGCTTAATCAACAAGCCCCGGATTTCTATAAGAGATTTTTGTGTTCTGTAAGTATTGCAAAGTCCACAAACTTGTAGATTAAACAATTCAACTTTTTCCTGCCTCAGGGATACGAGAAGAAAAGCAAACCTTGAGTCATGGCTCCAGCTTGCTTATTAAATGTTCTTAGAGACAAGTGTGGTGGCACACCCCTTTAATCCCAACGCTTGGAAGGAAGACAGGTGGAGCTCTGTGAGTTTGAAGCCAGCTTGGTCTACGTAGAAAATTCCAGGATAGTCAGGGCTACATAGACACCCTGTCTAAAAAAAAATAATAAAATAAAATAAAATTCTGAAAACTCTAGGTGCAGCTTGACAAGGAAATACGGCCTGGTCTAGTCTGGCCCCAGTTGGGTGGGCAGGGACCCCAGATGCCTTCCCTGAGAACATACCGCCCAAAGGAGCTGCCATGTGAATCCTTACTGATCGATCACCTGTAGTCTGCAAATTCATATCTGCATTGTTTACGTTTCTCTCGGCCGTGATCTGGCTAATGCAGTTCAAGGGAGAAAAGATTTCTCCTGGCTCACAGTTTCAGGGAAAATCAGCCCACCATAACCAAGAAGGCATAGTGGTAGGATTGATTCCTGTGTGTGGGGTGGCTGGGATCATATGACCAGAGCAGTCTGGAAGAAGAGCCTGAGGTCCAGCCGGAATCCTGCTGGAAGTCCTGCCCCTGTGGCCACACATCTGCCCCATATATAATTGGCTCCACAACCTGCCCACCCTCAATCAAAACAGTGTCACTATCTGAGCGCCAAGTGTTCAGGTACATAGCCTGTGGGGGACAGCTCACATTTAAATTATAATACCTTTTACTTATTTTTTTATTGTAGTGTATGTTTGGTCAGAACATTTTTATGAGCATTCATGTTAGCTTGAGTGAAAAAAATTAAAAGGGCTGGAAGCTTTTAACGTTTACTTTTATTTTATATTAATCTGTATTGTTTGAGTTTTTTAAAAAATGGTTTATTTATTTTCATCTTGTGTGCATTGGTGTTTTGCCTGCATGGATGCCTGTGTGACGGATGGTATCTGGTCTCTTGCAACTGCATTATAGACGCTGGTGAGCTGTCCTGTGGGTGCTGAGAATTGAACCTGGATCTTCTGGAAGAGCAGCCAGTGCTCCTAAGTGCTGAGCCATCTCTTCAGCCCTTGTTTGGGTTTTTATTAGTACACTCTCTCTTTCTGTGCCTTTCTTTTTGCCTCTCTGGGAACAACGGAACCCAGAGTCTTGCAAGTGTCTGAACTCTACCCTTCTCCCACTCCACTCCAAGAACTTGCATCTTTTGTAATTAGATAATAATACACACAGGAACAGAGAACAAACACAATACACACATTTGGCCTAGAATTCCATTGGCTAGAAATTTGTGTTGAGTTCAAGTTTTATTATCACAAGTAATGCTTTGTTTATAGACAGAGAACATGTGCTGAACGCTTCCTCTTTGGCCAGCACTGCCCCAGGCACGTTCACAGGTATTAGATGCTAATCCTCACAACCTTCCTGTGAGGGAAGACTTGGCTCCCCTTTACAGAACCTGGCTAGGAGATGGTTGCTTCATCCCCTTCTCCAGGGCTTCTCACAGCCTGGCCGTGTTTCCTTTGGCTGGCGGCCTACTGACCGATGACTGGCTGTTCAGAACTCTCATTGGCCAGGAGTTCCTATTCCTTGCTCTTGGATTCAAATCATCCAAGTCTCAGACTTTTTCCTCTCTGTGAGTGAAGAGACGAGAAGCCCAGGCTCTCTGCCTGTGAAGCACCACTTGAGTTTGCTGAGGGGATGGGAGTGGTAGGGGAAGCGGGAATCCGGTCATAACTCTTCCCGTCTCTGAAGGATGAGCTTTGCCACCAGCTCTGTGATCCGGGGTTTGATCTCCTGCATGGGCACAGTTGGATCCCAAGCCCCCACCACTTTTCCATCTGGGGCCACGAGGTACTTCCAGAAGTTCCAGGTAGGCTCCTTCCCAGAAGTCTCTAAAGAAAAAGGAAGCAGTAGAACGGTGTGCCTCTCTGTGCCCTCCTGAGATCCCACTGTTGGTGTAACTCTCACACCCAGGCCCCACTCAGACTACTAAGATTAGAGCTACTGAGAACAAGACCCAACTCCCAACACTTTTCCAGAGCTCTCCAGGAGATTCCAATGTGGGATCCCGATTGAGAGAGCCAACTTTAGGCTGCTGGGAAGTCCACGATAGAACACTATCAATCATCTTCCCTAATCACCCCAAATGGCCGAGCCCTGTTCGCTAAGTCTGTTTTGTTTTGAGTCAGGATTCTGTGTAACCCAGGCTACCTTACTTAGTCTTGCTATCTAGCTGAGGAAGTCCCAGAAGGCCTTATCCTCATTTCTAACTCCCGAGTGCAAGCCTGTACAATTCCCTGCTTCCCATGAAATCTTAGCGGCTTCTAGAGCTTAGTCCATGTACTGGCTGAATCAAAATCACTGTCAGGGAGTGGGGACTTGAAAGAAATTCTTGGGCCCTGCTAGAGTAAGGTTCAGGCTTGTACAATTATAAGATCTTTCCAGGTGCTTCCAAAGCAAGGCCCAGATTGATCTACAGCAGGAACTGGAAGAAAACTAACAAAACACATAGGAAGGGGGAAGGTATGACTTAACAAAAACACAAAGCTCACAAGATTCCAAAGTTCACAAGCTCTGCCACTGAGACTGGGGCATTCTGAATGACTTCTCATTCTTTCTTTTGAATAAGTAGAGGTGTTTTGCTTGCATGTATGTCTGTACACCGTATGTGTACAGTGTCTGAGGAGGCCAGAAGAGGGTATTGGATTCCCTGGGACTGAAATTATAGACGGTTGTGAGCTGCCATGTGGGCACTAGGAATCAAATCTGGACAAGCAGCCAATACTCTTAGCCTCTGAGCCATCTCTCTAATCCCAGAATCCCACTTTTTAATGAGCAGACTCAAACCATCCAATGTTTGACCCTTGGAGAAGCAAGCCTGCCTCTTTCACAGATAGCCAGTCCCACAAAGAGATAACCTACGTCGTAAAACTTATTCCTCACAAAATAATCCGATACCTGCCCAACCTTCCAGAGAGACAACACTGTGTAGATGTCCCACCTGATAAGACCTAAACCATCAGAGCGCAGTTCCATCAAAACACTGCCTGACTGCCCACAGAGCCCCCCCGCCCCACACACATGAAAGCACCCCCTTACACCATCTCTGCAGCTTCTCTACTGCCTTGTCTGTTGCAGCTAGACCACAGGATACCCAACAAACTCTACTGCCTTTCTGTCCTTGGTGATTTCATTCACAGCCCACACATCGTGCCTGTCACTGGTATTCCAGGCATGGCAATTAAGCTAATCTTTCAGAGAGAAGGTTTCCCTCTCAGTGACTTTCCGTCATCTGGTCACCCTTCTCCAGGCATGTGGCGTCTCATGGCTGTGTCTTGTTTCTCTCTCCTCAGTCTACAAGCTCAGCTAAGGAATGTTGACAAAAGCGTGATGACCCAGAGACAAGATTTCAGGGAAGTCCTCGGGTGAGACAGCAGGCGTGGAGAGACTTGGGCAGGATTCCTCCTCTGCTCACGCCTGCCTTCACTTTCCTCCAAGGGTTAGGAAGAGAAAGGTGACACAGCCAGCTAGCAGCTTCTGCTGCCCAGGGAGTCATGGCCACAGCCAGGGAGGGAAGAGGAGAAGGGACAGGACTCACGGGTTAGGTATTTGAAGATAGGGTGGGCACCAGAGCCGGTGACTGCGGTCTTGCTGAACATGGGAAAAGAGACACTGTAGGTGTGGCGGGCAAAGTTCTCGATCTCCCTGTTGGTGTCTGGTTCCTGCTGGCCAAACTGGTTGCAAGGGAAGGCAAGCACGTTAAAATGGTAGGGACCCAGGTCCCGCTGCAGCTGCTGCAGGGCTCGGTAGTTCTGGTCTGTGAAGCCACATTCGCTAGCTACGTTTACCACCAGGGAAACCTGCATGACCAAAACAAACAAACAGAAGAAAGCTCAGAACCATATACAGCCCAGCACAGAGGCACGCACTTGTATCTGCTCTGATATGTCCACATAGGTGATTCCATCTCACATGCAAGAATGCTACGTACATATGTAAATACGTGTATAATGCTCTCACATAATATACCCACATATGAAATCAAGCATGTAGGGTCCTATACACATGTACACACATACAGGAATATCTGTGACGGTAGGCACACAATTCACCTAAATTAATATGCACATGCTCTAGATGCAAACCTACATTAGCTACTAGGATACGAATCCACAAATGCATATAGCCCATTCCCAGAGAGGCATGCACACAGAGAGCACATATCAGCAGGTGATGCTAGGGAGGAGAAAGGCACACTTGGGTTCAGTTTGGTTCAGTCAGCTGGGTACTTCCAGGAATTCAGGCGAGCTCCTTCCCAGAAGTCTCTAAAGAAAAAGGAAGCAGAAGAACAGTGTGCCTCCCTGTGCCTTCCCCTGGATGGGGCTGCCAGTACATGGGCACATAGACAGAATGACCCCTAGGACAATCCTTTTCATCTCCTCCCTTCCAGCAAACAAAAACTTTGATCGCTAAGCCCTAATTTTATTAAAGGCTTTAGACAGTAAATACAAAGCTAGCTGATGGAACTGAGTTATAATGTAATTCGAATTTTGGCACCAATAATGCCACATTTCCAGCTTCTAGCTATGTATTACTGAAAGATTACAATCCTTTGCCTGGGCACCCTCGCCCTAGCTCCATGACTGCTTTTGAGACAAGCTGGGATAATATCATCCGGCTACCTAAAGAAGACCATTTCCCAGGGTCAGTCTGGAACACTGGGCACAGATTGCTGAAGCTAGATGGGATTCTCAAATTCAGCACTACTAAAATTACAGGTCTTCATTGTGGGGAGCTGTCCTGTTTATTGTAGACTATTTGGCATCATCCTAGCCTGTACCCACTAGATGTCTAGGCTTGACCACCAAAAAAAAACGTTTCCCCATGGGTTCTGTGGCACAGACCTGTTGCACAAATTCCTAAATGGTCTTTTTTTTGGGGGTGGGGGTGGGGGTTGGTTTTTCAAGACAAGGTTTCTCTGTGTAGCCTGGAACTAGCTCTGCAGACCAGGCTGGCCTTGAACTCACAGAGATCTGCCTGCCTCCCGAGTGCTGTGATTAAAGGCGTGCACCACCACCACCACCACCACCACCACCACCACCACCACCACCACCCAGCCCTAAATGATCTTATAATAAAAAACCCAGAACCAGATATTGGGGTAAATGCTGAAAGATCAGAGAGACAAAGGAACAAGCCACTGCCACCTCTTACCTCTAGGACTCCTCAGCCTGAAAAGGTTCAGTTCCTGTCTCCTCACGCCTTATATACCTTTCTCTGCCCAGCCATATCACTTCCTTCCTAGTGCTGGGATTAAAGGTGTGAGATCTCAAGTACTGGGATTAAAGGCATGTGACTCCAAGTATTGGGATTAAAGGTATGTGCCACCACTGCCTGGCTCTGTTTCTCTCCTAAACTGAATCAATCCCATGTAGTCCAGGGTAGCTTTGAACTCACAGAGATCCAGACGGATCTCTGCCTCTCACGTGCTAGGATTAAAGGTATGTGCCACCACTGCCTGGCGTCTATGTTTAATCTAGTGGCTTGTTCTGTCTCTGATCTTCAGGCAAATTTTATTAGGGTACACAATATATTACCACACACTTGTAATCCCAGCTCTAAGGAGACTGAGGCAGTAGAATTGCAAATTGGAGGCCAACCTAAACCTCATAGTAAGACCATCTCTTAGCTAAAAATAAATAAATAAATAAACACATAAATAAATAAATAAAATGAAAAAATATAAAAAATAATGCTGCATACCTTTAATCTCTGCTCTTAGGAGGCAGAGACAGAGGCAGGAGAATCTTTATGAGTTCAAGGCCAACCTGATCTACATAGCAATTTCCAGGCTAGCTACTGCACAGCGAGACACTGTGTCTCAAAACAAAACAAACTGGAGAGAGAGCACTTTGCTGGCCCGCCTGACAATCTGAGTTTAATCCCAGGGCCCCACAAAGTAGAAGGAAAGAAATGACTCCCCCGAGTTGTTCTCTGGTACCCTAAAAGGCAAGCATACACACACACACACACACACACACACACACACACACACACACACACACACACACTCTGTAATAATAAAAAAAGGTTTTCTTTCTTTCTTTATTCTTTTTTTCTTTCTTTTTTTTCCGTTCTTTTTTGTTTTTTGGTTTTTCGAGACAGGGTTTCTCTGTGTAGCTTTGGAGCCTGTCCTGGAACTCACTCTGTAGCCCAGGCTGTCCTCGAACTCACAGAGATCCACCTGGCTCTGCCTCCCGAGTGCTGGGATTAAAGGCTTGTGCACCACTGCCCAGCCTTATTTTAATTTTTTTGGGACGGGATCTCATGACCTAATTGTAGCCTTGGCTGGCCTGGAACTTCCTATATTGACCAGACTGGCTTTGAACTCACAGAGATCTGCCTGCTTCTGCTACCCAAGTGCTGGGATTAAAGGTGTGCATCACTCGCCGGGCAGCGGTGGCCCATGCCTTTAATCCCAGCACTCAGGAGGCAGAGCCAGGCGGATCTCTGTGAGTTCGAGGACAGCCTGGTCTACAGAGCGAGATCCAGGACAGGCACCAAAGCTACACAGAGAAACCCTGTCTCGAAAAACCAAAAAAAAAAAAAAAAAAAAAAAAAAGTGCATCACTGTTCCAGGCTAACTCTATACACTATTCCCTTTAGTAGTTGAAAAATATCTTGTCTTTTTTTTTAAAAATCTCTTATTGCTGATAATTAATTAATTAATTGAGATTACCTGGTTCAGTTTTCAGTGCCTCGTTTATTGTCTTTTCTCCCATAAGCTTGATTAAAGCATAAACTTGTTCTGCTCATTACTATTCTCTTCAGAGCTTGGGTTTCTAACGAGTAGGTGCTGAGTAATAAACAATGACTCAGTGACTGGAGGAGCTGCTCAGGGTGTATCTGGGGTCTCTGTCCAGCCATAGCAGAGGGGAGGAACGGGCCCTGCTCTTTGCTACTCTTTGTCTGGAGTTTGGATGAGGTCACTGACCGAGACCTACAGTACACACAGCAGCGTAAAGCTTACCAAGTACTTCCATATGGACCTCTCTCTTTGAAACTCTGCACTGGACAGAGCAAGGACTCCCAGCATAACTGAGAATTTCAAGGCGATCAAAATTAGTTTCATCCCAGAGATGGCCCTGCACCCAAGAAAAGCATGCTGATAGCCATTCCTTCGTGATTCATCCAAATCTGGATGATGGGCTCACGGGTCCATTTATGTCCAACGCCACACACATCTTCACACCAGGGTCTTCATCTCAAGAGGCAGAAGATTCTTTGAAAGACTTTTTAAATTTAATTAATTATTAATTTTTTTTTTTTTTCGAGATAGGGCCTCGAGCCCACAGGGATCAGCTTGTCTCTTCCTCCCTAGGGCAGAGCTGGGATTAAAGGCCTGAAACACCAGACCCCGCTCTTGAGAGGATTCTTCATCACGAACAATGTTAGCACCTCTGAACTAAAGTTCAGAGACCCTCTGGGCTCTCCTGGGCCCCATCAGCCTCATCTACCACCATTTAGCGCAGGGGTTTGTATCCTTCAGGGACCACTGTTGAAATCCCTGGTCCTCCCCACCCTTCTTACAGTTTTGCTTGTTTCTGGACTTGGCCAGCTCTCTTTGTCCCGATTTGTCTCGGTCAAGTCTTTTTTTTTTTAAAGACCCAATCCTGATACACTTCCTTACTGTGATTCAGTCTAGCAAGGAGGAGCCTGTCCGCCTGGATGGCTAGCAATTCCATCACAACTGCCCTCTAAGGGTTAGGCCCTGAGAGGACCAAGGATGGGAAGTGTGTAGGTAGGGTTCTCTTCCAGCATGGGCTGCTTTTTACTGTTGTGTGGTCCTTTGCCCACGTCTTCGTTCTCAGGGCCTTAAGTGTGCATTCTGAGACTCAAGCAAGGGTCCATCTTAGATGGTCACTCCCTCCGCTGCACATCTGTCTCTCCCTGTTCTCATTGGACCCACTGTTTTAGGCGCAAAAGCCGGACTGGAGAGGCAAAAGGCTAAGGTTACTTTTACTCTTAGGAGAGGCAAAGCCCGGGCGGAGGGCATTAACCTTCTGGGCGAGATCATGAGCCCCAGAGCGCGCAGACAGCTCATGTGGCTCCTGAGCTGTGCCACGTAGCCGCGGGCCTGAATAGGCAAGGGCCTGGGGGCGCCAAATGGATGGATCGCGGGGCTGGGATCCCCAGGGTGGTGTCCGAGCTGTGACACACCCGAGGGGAGCATCCCCGGAAGAGCCCCGGCCCGGGTGCCCCCATCAAGCCCTGCCCCCAGCCCAGCCAGGCCCGCAGGGGACCGTCACTCACCGAGCCGCGGTACTTCTCCAGCGACACCAGCTTGCCCCGGATGTTGACCGCCTTGAAGTCGTAGAAGTCCTGCTCGGATTGCACGCAGGCCGCGGCCCATAGGAGCAGCCACGCCGCCGCCACGGCTGCAACCATGGCTCGCTTCCGAGGTGGCGGCTTGGCGAGAGAAAAGACCGGGAGGGGAGACCCGGCGTTGGGGGCGGAAGGAGGCGGCCCACTGGGCAGGACGCGCCCCCTTCGCGGTCGCCTCTGCAGGCACGGAGTCCTGCCTCTGGACCTCAGTTTCCCTAGCTGTTCTGCGCCGGTCAGCTCAACATCCAAGGATCCTGTTTTCTTGAGTCTGAGACTAAAATTCGCTTCTATGAATTTGCTCGCTCATGCTCAGGATGCAGCGACTTAATGGGGAAAGAGAGGAGAAAATCTGTGTGTGAGATTAGCTTCTAGATAGTGCTTGGCCTTGGGGGGATCGCTCTACCACTCTGAGCCTCAGTTGCTTCACGGGAATACACAGGATAGAATTGGGAGTACCGGACTGTAACAGGAAAATGGTGGAAAACACTGTGATAGCCGGACGATGTGTGCGAGCTTTAGGTTAACGAATGTAGTGTTTTACCCAGTTGGAGAGGTCAGAGAAGACAAAGGAGCCTGAGTCTGCAGCGGTTGGGATTCCTGCAGGGCAGGAGGTTTGGGGATAGTCTATTGGTTCACCCAGCAGACTCCAAGATAGCAGACCTTTTACACTGTCGCCTGTCAATCACTGGAATAGTGTCTCCTGGCAGGAGGCGCAACAGGAGCCAAGAAGGCTCCTTATCTGGAGCAGCTGACAGCTAAAGGCTTTTTGTGAACACTAACATGGCTAGCAGCCGGAATCTCAACTCTTTAGTGTTGACTAAACACTGGACAGCACACTACAGTGTTTCCCAGGCTCAGAAAACCTCTATGACAACCACGAAGGGCTGAACATCTGTTGGTGACTAAGTATGAGTTAACATACGCTTGGAGGACCTGTTCTGTGCCACGTTCAGCTCTAGGCGCCTTTTGTGCCATGGTGATGAACAAGATGTGTGGTCCCTATTCAGAGGGAGATAGGGCACTAAGTAGTTCACAGTTAACTCAAAACTACCGTCTGTTATGGCAAAGCTGAGGGTGGGGTGGGGGAGCGACAGGAGGTTTGAACTGATGACCTCTGACGAATGAGTAGACAATATGAAGTAAAAGCAGGAAGCATGTGCGAAGGTCGCCAGGGAGAGCAAAACATGATACACTGGGCAAGAAAGGCTGGTTTGGCTGGAGTGGAGAGAATACCCAGGGGGTGGCGATGGGGTAGGGGTGAGTGGGGGGTGTCACATAGCTTGGTGGGCCACAGTAAAGTTTATGGGTTTGCTGGGCATGGTAGCCAATGACTTTAGTCCCAGCATTTGGGGGACAGAGGCAGGCAGATCTCTGAGTTAGAAGTCAACCTGGTCTCTATAGCTCCAGGCCAGCTGTAAAAAAAAAAAAATAAAAAAAAAAATTTACAGGCTTTAAATCCAGAAATGAAGTTTTATTTTTTGTTTCTGCTAGCTTAAGCATCATGGTGAGTCCTGCATATTGCAGACAAATTCCTCCGGCTTCTCGTGGCAAGAGCAGACGCTGGAGGAAAGGTAACGGGCGCTTTAAGGCCCAGAGATGGTGACAGCAGAGTCCAGTATTGGAACAGGAAAGGGACTGTCAAAGTTGGGAAGGCTGAGCAAAAGTGTCAGCATAGGGGAGCTGTGACAGTGAAGGCACCCAGCATAAGGGGAGGGTGGGGCGGGTGAGCCTGGAGGAGTCTTCAGGGGTCAGCTGGGGAAAGGCTGCATGTGCCACAACACTCTGTAGGCTGCAGCTAGCACACCCGAAACTGAGTACAAGGTACACAGTAAGATTTGAAACCCAGGCACTCAGATTTCAGAGTAGGCTGTCTTTCTGTGCCGTCGAGATAGCCTCTCACTTCAGGAGCAGACCAGTTTGCCCGCAGAGGTGGGATACAGGACGACAGAGGTGTTCCAGGCAAGTGTCCTGGCCCTTCTGCCTCCTTACCCCTATCCTGTGGGAGCCTTGAGGCCCGTGATGGGTCTTATTAGCACAAACAGTTGAGCTGACAGTAACTTTGTATAGTTGTCCACTTCCATGACTGCTTTGCCCATTAGGCTGGGAGCATCTCCAAGGAAAGCCTGCATCTGATCATCTTTGTGTCCTCTTTCCATATACTAAACACTCAATTAATGTTTACTTTTAAAAAAGTCTTCTGGTGACTTCTACTACGTGTCCATGCTAGACTCTGATATGAGATGATGTTGATTTTAGCCAACGGAGTGTAATCTGTCACTTTCTTTTCAGTCCACTACGTATTTCTGATGTTTTAAAAAGAGCACAGTTATTTCCAGGTGGCACTTCTAACAACTAGGAGACTGGAAGACATGGACAAATCACACTGAATCTCAGCTGAGCATTTGAAAGTGTTGGGGACTCACTCTAGGATCCCTACTCCTCCTTTTTCCTACAATAAGCTCAAAGGCGTTATTCATGGATATTTAAGATGCTCACAATATTTGCTCATCAGACTGTTGAGTGCCTAATATGAGACTATTTAAAGAGTTTTTAATATAGTAAAAAATAAAAATAAATGTATTGAATTTATATTCCTGTGGGAGAAGAAAGGGCTAAAAACTAAAACATACATAGAAAACCTTTAGCACTTTAGATAAAAGAAGCATCAGGGTAGAGGGGTAATGTGGGAGGAAGAGGGATCGCAATATTGTATGGTACCCTGTCCCTCACAGCTTGGGCCTTGAACCTCGGCTCAGGGTAGCAAGGGAATGAAGTAGACAAACACACATACAATGAAGCTGGATGATGGGGTTTTTGTTTGTTTGTTTGTTTGTTTGGTGGTGTTGTTTGTTTCTGCTCTTTGGGGGGGCCCATCACCCAGCTCCCAAATAAATTACACACAGAGGCTTATTCTTAATTATAAATGCCTGACCTTAGCTTGGCTTGTTTCTTGCCAGCTTTTCCTAACTTTAAATTATCTCTGTCTACCTTTTGCCTCTGGGCTTTTTGCTTTTCTTACTTCTGTGATCTTACTTTCACTCTTACTCCATGGCTGGCTGGGTGGCTGGGTGGTTGGTCCCTGATGTCCTCCTCTCCTTGTTCTCTCGTTCCTTCATCTCTCCTCTTCCAGATTTCTCCTTCTATTAATCCTTTCTGCCTGCCAGCTCCACCTATCCTTTCTCCTGCCTTGCTATTGGCCATTCAGCTCTTTATTGGACCATCAAGTGTTTTAGACAGGCAAAGTAACACAGCTTCACAGAATTAAACAAATGCAACATAAAAAAAGTAACACACCTTAAAATATTGTACAACAGGTTGGAGTTTTTTTTGATGTTGTTGTTGTTTGTTTGTTTTTTGAGACAGGGTTTCTCTGTGTAGCCCTGGATGTCCTGGAACTCACTCTGTAGACCAGGCTGGCCTTGAACTCACAGAGATCCACCTGTCTCTGCCTCCCAAGTGCTGGAATTAGAGGTGAGCGCCAGCACCACCCAATGATTTTTTTTTTAACGCTACTGCTATCACTGCAACCTGAAACCTTAGCATGTTTATTAGGTACAGCACAGGGGGAAGGGCTAGTTTAGTCTTCCTAGGAGGTCTCTGTAGGCGAGCAGTCTAAGGCGGTCGGCATCCTGGAGGAGGAAGCTGCAGTTGCTAGTCTTTGCACATACTGGTCAGTCATTCATAAACACTCATACCCAGTCTCCTGAAGAAAACTCTGCCATCCCTCTAAGCCTGGTCCATAGACAATGGCTTTACCAATTTCCCATGGCCAACAGGACTTGCTCATACCAAAATACACCCTCACTCAGAATTTCACTTACTCAGGGCTTCCTCCATTCCCTACAGTATGTGTTCTTTTTCTATTATTAGTGTATATATGTATTAGTCAAGGTTCTCTAGAGGAACAGAATTGATTGAATGAATGAATGAATGAATGTGTGTGTGTGTGTGTGTGTGTGTGTGTGTGTGTGTGTGTGTGTGTGTATGATTTATTATAATGGCTTACAGGCTATGATCCAGCTAGTCCAATGGAAGCTGTCTTCCAATGGAAGGTCCAAGAGTCCAGTAGCCAGTATGTGCTGGAATCCTGAAGTAGGTCCTAATGCTGGTAAAGGAATGGACTTGCCAGTGAAAATGAGAACAAGCAGGCAAAGGGAACAAGCTTCCTTCCTCCATGTCTTTTAATAGAGGTACCAGCAAAAGGTGTGGCCCAGATTAAAGGTGGATCTTCCCACTTCAAAAGATCTGGATTAAAAGAGGGTCTTCCCACTTCAAATGATTTAATTAAGAAATAATCCCTCACAGGTGTACCCAGCTGCTTGGGTTTTAGTTAATTCCAGATGTAGTCAAGTTGACAACTAAGAATAGCCATCACAAGTCTATACCTTGTCAACCTGACAATCAGATCTCCTTATGTCATGCTTAATTTCCAAATAAAACAATAAGCAGGTCATAATTATGCCTAACATGATATAACTATTCCTTGTATAACTGAAAATACATTAAACTTTTTAGAATAGATGACAACATCCCTTGAGGGACATTCTTTTGTTATTTCAAAACTTAAATATGATAACCACTGATATTCTCTTAGTTGATGTTACACTACATGATAAATGGAGGAAAGAAAACCAATATCTGTACAAGCATATTCTTAACAAAATAAGACAGAAAACTCATGTCAATTATAATCCTTATTTCTGCAGCCTGGTCACATGGCTTTAGCTGGTATTTATAACTATCATCCTCTATTACCCATTCTGCATATCCTCGACCCTCAGCATGCACTTCATCAGGTCTTGGCTCTTTTCTTGGAAGAGTGACCCATACTTTCATTCCTAAAAAGTCTGTGCTCTTTGTCTTCCTGCCTGGATTAGGCTGTTGAAGTTTCCCATTGACTTCAATCACAGGACACGGTAGCACACAAGAGACACCCTAAAGGATCTCCTGCATTCTAGACATAATCGCTCTTACCTCCATTATGAAAAGGCAGTCCAATTTCCCCTTGGTAATCTGGATCAATCACACCTTCTAATGCTTCATTTCTTTTCTCAGCCTCTTGGTTTAAGGGCATCAGAAGCCCAGAGTGGCCATGGGGACATATGAGCTTCCAGTTTAATGGAGTGTTGTGTCTCCTGACAAGACCACTCCCTACTTTGGAACCAAAACTTCTAGGCCAGCAGAACTTAAGGTCACTGGAACAGAAAGCAAAAATTTCTCTCGTGAGTCACTAGGAGTGATAGTATGTGGTGATATTTTGATTGTGCTCTAATAAATAAAGCTTGCCTGGAGATCAGAGCTAGCCCCTAGTTAACCATAGAGGCAGGGCACTTTAATCCCAGCACTTGGGATCTCATGCTTTTGATCCCAGTACTTGGGAGGCACATGCTTTTAATTCCAGCACTAGGAAGGAGGAAACAGGAAGTGATAAATAAGGCGGGCAGAGACAGGAGCTTGGCCCCCTGCTGTGGGATGTCTTTCTGTATGCTGTTAATATATGTGGCTCCCATTGGATGTCATCCAAGGAGCAACATGTAATAGGACACAGGTAAAGCCATAGAACACATGGCAATATGTATATTAATAGAAATAGGCTGAATTAAGTTATGAGCTAGCTAGCAAGAAGCCTGAGCCATAGGCCATACAATTTGTAATTAATATTAAGCCTCTGAGTAATTATTTTATAAGTAGCTGCAGGACCGTGGGTGGGAGAGATTCATCTGGACCTGCAGGACCGCGGGCGTGGGACCGAAGAAACTTCCAGCTACAGCCCCCCTTTCAGGCTGAGGAGCTGGTGAGGTAAGAAGTAGCTGTGGTTTGCTCACTTGTCTCTCTGATCTTTGAGCATTTACCCCTATATCTGGCTTTGGGTTTTTATTATTAAGACCAATTAGAATTCACATTACAATTGTGAGTAGAACCATTCCCTTTTCCACCCCTTGATTCCTGGACCCATGGATCCTGGCTATGAGAGAAACCGTATCATAATATTGGACGCTGATTCAAAGCCTACGCTGCCTAGTGGAGAACTCTGCCCCAGCCCTCCAGGCTGCTGCTATTGGTGCTGTAAGTTTGTCTTCAAAGGCTATTCCACTTTTCTAACATGCCAGCTGCTTCAGGATGATGGGAAACATGGTAAGACCAGTGGATTCCACGGTTGTGGGTACACTGCCACATTTCTCTGGCTGTGAAGTGAGTTCCTTGGTCAGAAGCAATACC